ACTTTGGGGAGATGTTTAGTAGGGTTCTGCAAAAAAAATATATTGTTTAATATTGCAAGGGCGGCGCCCTCCGGGGGGGGAGCGATTTTTTTTCTCTATACACGGTATATAAAAAATAAAACTCGGATGCGGTTCATCCGAGTGCCATGAAACTTTAGGGAGTAGATGAGAATACTCCCGAGAATATTTCTGCGAAAAAGAAAACTAACGTTTCTTGTGGGCGGCGTCATATAGGGTACAACTTTCGTCAATAAACGGTTTGGCGCCTAGAGTTTTAGAGCGACTATGTTGGCACTTAGCATCCGTTAATCGAGCTTCCCGCATTGCGAGAAAGGGGTACTATAATATTCAGTGGTAAAACTACAACACGCTTCTAAAAATAACTTTGTAACGCGAGGAAATCCTTCAGTGCAGTTTCGTCACCTTGCCAAAGATGAAAAAAATAACTTTTTGAATATGAGGAGCCTACTGTAGAGTTTCGTCACTTTGCGAATGATGCAATAAGCATCTACTATTAGACAAGCCAGTCAGAAATTGAGATCGAGCATCTAATAATAGACCATTAGTAACGCTAGCATATTGCATCAGTCACACTGATGTTTAAAACACGTTAAATACTTTTTTACGTGTTAAAGAAAAAAATCCTGTTCATTTGTGTCACTTTAGCGAATGACGAAATCTGCATCATTATTAATAGGATGCTATTTAGACGATGGCGCCTGTTAGTTTAAGGAGCCAGGGGTCGTACGCCGCGCCTATGCGGTAGTCTAATCGTGGGGGTGGGGGCCCTGAGAGCGCCCCTGTGCGTCTCTGACACATGGGCGGTCACCGAAGTGTGTTCTAACATTATTTCGGTGAGTGATTAATGTACACTCAATGTTTACATGCGGTAGTGTAGGTAAACCCGTGTCCCGATATTTATGATTTAAGCGCAGGCATTGTTTACATTTAAATAACTCACTTTTAGAAAAGACGGTCACGCGTCTTAGAACATATAATTGGTAACGCGTTGCTGAAATCCTAATACATTTCGTCAAACTTACTTCTACCCCGCGGCAACGCGCGGGGGACGGGTACGCTAGTATATGTATAAATTTCGACCGAAATTTTAGATAATAAAGCTTTTATTTAACTCACTTCCTTTGTCGTCAGTCGTCAGTCTGTCTAGACCGAAACGCCGGAGTGAAAATTCGGAAACTTCTACTTGACCGATACGATTCACACTTGGCACGTGGGTCAAGACATGAAGACAATGCAATCTGAAATTAAATTTGACTTAATTGGATGCCTAATTAATTTTTTATGAATTAATTAAAATTTGGACCGAATTAGCAGGCATGTCTATCCAACCACACCACACGCGTCATCACGTTCAATAGCTGCGCCATCACGTTCAATGGCTGCGCTAGGCGCGCAATGGTTTTTAGTCATGTAACTCTATTGTAAATAAAACATGTAAAGTACTGAAAAAAAAATTCATAAAAAACGTTTTAATAACAAGCTTTTATGTAATAATGCACTAAAAAGTAGAACATAAATTGAGGAGTCCACTTTCAAAACCTGCTAAGTCACTTTTGGTTGATTTCGAAGAAATTGACTTTTAAGTTCTTTTTTTGTTAACTATTCTTAGGACTTTTGATATTTTACTGTTATATAATTTATTTTTATGTATACCTTTTTGAACAAAAATTAGTATACTACTTTAATTGCCACTTAATTGAGAAGGTTTTAGGAGTAACTTATTTTCTTCAAAAAGTGTACTTAGCAGGTTTTGCAAGTGGACTCCTCAATTATAGACTACTATAAACTTTTTCAAGTGGCTACCCCCTTTTATAAAAAGTAAGTGACCCGCGACCCCCATTGAATTAAAAAATCGAAATTAGTAAGGAAATTTATAAGCACTTAAATAAAATTTTCCAGTAGACTTTAAATATGAATTATTCTTGATAACTGTTTTAATACGATGAGTAAAATTGCATGCTATTAACTAGCCTCAACATTCGCGGTTGAGTTTCTGTTAACGCCAACCTTATTGATTTCTTTGTTTTATTTTTAATTGGAGAATTTTTGAAAATCTATTCTCGCAAATATATGCAGGAACACAAGAAACTAAAACTCAAAGGGAAATCAATTTCACGTTTGGATTGGACAGCTGCATACTACACCAAAATTGCGTGAACAATTTTTCATCTGACGCGGAATCACTCCGCAAATCCAAGAATTCATCTTATAATTCATCGGGAATGTGGCAACATCAAGGGCAGTGTTTCTTCCAGTCATCTCTCCCCCCCCCCCCCAGAAAAATATATATAAAATATATACTTTTAACAGTGCCTGACCCCGGAAAATTAGTCCGCCCCCCCCCCCCCCCCCCCCCCCCGCAAATTCTGGAAGAAACACTGAGCAAGGGAAGCAGAGAATACGTAAAGCGTCAAGGCAGATTCTCATTCTTTCTCTCCTTTCCTCTTCCTTTGCTCAGTGTTTCTTCCAGGATTTTTTCCGACAGGGGTTGGGGGGGGGCGGGGGTGCAGTGTTCCCTGTAAACTGCGCGGCTGCGCAGCCGCGCAGCACTTACAAATATGCCGCGCAGACATTTTCTGATGCCGCGCACAGATTATCAGAACGTCGGGCTAGCCTAATTCACTAGAAAATTTGGGGCCAGTGGCTTGAATTAAGCTACATTTTTAGTGCCTGTTTTGTTAAACGAACAGTCTTTGTGTTTTGGGGCATAAACAGAAAACACAGGTTTTATTGACTGGGGGGAGGGAGTGACCTCGGTTGTCATACCACAGGTCTAGTTAATGACTTCACTCTAAATTGATCGGGGCGGGTTCCGATGTGATGTCTGGGTGACACTTCCTCTGCTTGATTTAATGGTTTACCCCAAAACTGACCGTAGCTGACACCTAATACCTGAAATGGATTGCGGCTACTAGCTGACCATGCAATGTTTTTTTTATTGCCACTGCCCTCCCCCATCTTCCAACCCCCACACACCTCCTTGATACTTTGACGATTTACCCAAGTCAGATGCAAATTCTACGTTACTAAAGGTGGATGTGTTTTTGCTCTGTTTGGTTTAAGGATTTATATACTATATATCCAATTATTGGGATCATTACGTGCACCTGGATAGAACTGTTTCAGTGTTTACAAACTGGTTTGGTATATAAGGAATAAAAGTTTACTTCTCTGTGCTATTTGAAAATGTTGAAAAGAAAAATGTGTGTAACAAGCGGTAAAACAATGCAGCAAAAAATAAAAGCGAGAAATTCGTTTAAACTGGAATGGCTCTAAGTTAAAGTAACAACCAATACGCCAGATTTAAAAAATGTTTCAGTTGAATAAGGAAGCATCTATGAAAATTCCGATGAGATTGGACTGAAGTGTAAGTTCTGTGCTGCTAGTATTTGTAACAAAACCAACAGAGACAACGAATTTGTCATGGGAAAGCGTTGGAAGTCATGGAAACTTGACTACTGTAAACGTCATTTACTGTCTCGTGTTCACGTAGAAAATGTTGCTTAAATGGGACTAGCCTTAAACGTCTACTGGGTGAAACAAACACTGAGCGAGAAGAACGAATTGAACAAAATGAGCGTCGGCGTTCAAACGCGGATCAAGTTCGAATCCTAATTGATAATGTTCTTCTCGCCATTAGGATGAACGCCTCGATGCTGTCGGAACAACTGATTCATAACCACATGGCGAAGTATGTTTCTATATCAGACAGTTGGCGAAGTAAGAATTACGCCTTTGACTTTGTTCAAGCAATCAACGAGGTGGTTGTAAAGAACATACTGACAGAACTTCGAGTAGCATCGTTCCACACGCTTATAGTTGATGAAAGTACTGACGTAACTGTACATAAAATGCTAATCCTTTATTTTAAATTTCGACCAGTCAATTGTTTATTGGTGGAATAATTCAGCTTACCGCATGTGATGCCTCAGTTCTGGAGGCAGCCATAACACAGTACTACACTGAACATCAACTTGAAATGAAACGCATGATAATGATAACATCGCACGAAAGTAGGCCTTTGCGCCTGATTTAATTTAGTGAGCTGCGCCTGTTGCAGTTTAACTCCCCAAAGTGTTGTGGCACTAGGATGAACGGTGTCTAACCGCATCAAACTTTTTATATACCGTATTATAGAGACAAATCGCATCGAACCTTGCCGGTGCGCCGCCCTTGTGAAATTGAATCTCCATCCCCCCCCCCCCCCCCCCCATTCAAAACAGAAAGAACCCGATTCAGCAACTCCCCAAAGTGTGATGGCGATAGGTGAAAGGTGTAGTAATGCCATAAAGACAAATCAACAAAAAAAAACAAATACATTCATTTATATATATATATATATATATATATATATATATATATATATATATATATATATATGTGTGTGTGTGTGTATATATAGATTGATCTAGATCTATCTATATATATAATTCTCTTCTGGGAGACGCTAGAAAACAAGCTATAAACGCGCCCCCTACCATCCCCACCCCTACATAGTCTTAGTGAGCTGTGGTTCACGCTGTTTACCTTCGTGGAGTCGGGTTTAGTGACGGCTATTAGGGGCAGATAATTTAGTTTGAAACGATTTTAAACGTTGGGGGGGGGGGGTGGCGGAAGGGGGGGGGATTATGGTCCTTAACGAGCTACTTATAGTGTTTTAAAGAAATATTTTCAGTGTCAGCGTTGGTACTGTCGAATTCACAAATTAAGAATTACTGAAAAGTAGAAAAAACAACAAATAATAGAGGCGTATGTTATGCCGCGGGCCGGCTCGTATATCATTACAGCCAATCCAATTATACTAACCCTAACAAAATGGAATAAACGCTTTCTGATTAATTAATAGCTGAAAATATTTATTATGTCTTTTAAAAAAAAAGATAAATTAAAAGTCAATAATAATCATAATAATAAATTGTATCTTATGTCTTAAAAATGTAATCATTTTTTGCTACATTAATTAATACATTTTGTTGATCAATTCAATTATCATAATTATGATTTACTTAATGGGTTATATAATTATTTATACAAAATTTTGAATTACATAAAATGGAATATATTCAATAAAGAAAAATATAGAGTTAATATTACTTCAATGAGTCACATTATAATTGTACATTTAAAATGTTGCTGTTTATTAGTGGTTAGTGTTGTTATATGGGTAATATAAAGGATAAGAATTTAGCCATCATATTTCCAAAAAAAAACGAAATAATGCTAGCCATAACACCTTGTACAAGATAATAAATGTGCTATGGAGATTCATGACATCCATTCTTTCCATGTAGTTTTCTTTCCATTGTGTGAAATGTCTAGATAGCATATTAATCATTAGTAATACTTTGTATGACAACTAATACTATGAAGAGTAGTATATCTTGTATGACAAACATTAATGGTGTGTTTTCAGCCTACAAAATGTGGTATTAGTAAAAAAAAGTAATAATTTTATATATAGATAATTAAAGATCTTTGTGAAAGAGAATTTAATGACCAACAACACATTCAATCCTGAGTAAAAATTTGTGTGCATAGATAAACTAGATTTAGAGGAAACGTTTGTGATAAATGTCAAATTTATATGGTCTCTCTGGTATATGAATATTTTTATGCTCTAATAAATCACCTTTATGATTAAATTTTTTATAACACACATAACATTCATATAGTCTCTCTGGTAAATGTATATTTTTATGTGTAGATAGAGTACTTTTTCGACTAAATTTTTTATAACACACATCACATTCATAATATGGTCTCTCAGGTAAATGAATATTTTTATGTCTAGATAAATGACTTTGATGATTAAATTTTTTGTGACACACATCACATTCATATGGTCTCTCTGGTAAATGAATATTTTTATGTTCTGATAAATGACCTTTCTGACTAAATTTTTTATGGCACACATCACATTCATATGGTCTTTCTGGTAAATGAATATTTTTATGTCTAGATAATCTAGATTTAAGGGCAAAACTTATATAACAAACATCACATTTATGTGGTCTCTCTGGTAAATGTATATTTTTATGTGTAGATAGAGTACTTTTTCGACTAAATTTTTTATGACACACATCACATTCATAATATGGTCTCTCAGGTAAATGAATACTTTTATGTTTTGATAAATCACTTTTATGATTAAATTTTTTGTGACACACATCACATTCATATGGTCTCTCTGGCAAATGAATATTTGTATGTTCTGATAAATGACCTTTCTGACTAAATTTTTTATGGCACACATCACATTCATATGGTCTTTCTCCTAAATGTATCTTTATATGGTTTGCTAAATGATTTTTAATATGATATTTTTTATGACACACATAGCATTCATATGGCTTATTAATTCCAGAATGAATATTTGTGTGTGTGGATAAACTAGACTTTGTAGTGAACTTTTTAGACAAACTAGACTTGTTGTATACCTGTTCTAGGTTTATTTTGTTAATTTGTTCAACATGACTGATCTTAACAACTTCTTGCTGATGAAAATCATGACCATATGGATTCACCCTTGTGTGAATGTTTATGTGTTGTTTAACATGATCAAAATGGAAAAATCTTTGACAACACATATCACAATTGTATGTCTTCAGTCCCTTATTGCTAATCAGATATTCTGTTGGGAGATTATCAATCAACTTTGTATGCAATAACTTGAGTTCTTTTAATTCATTCTGAAGATTTGATTTTAAAACTGCTAAATTTTCTTTAAAATCAGTTGAATCTGGTGGGGAAGAAAGTTGTTGCTGTGCTTTGAAACCATTTTGTTGTTCCCTTTCCAAAGATGAAATTGTTAATATCTCAGGTTTTATATCTTCAAAAATTGAAAATGCTGTTGATAGATTTGGTTTCATGTCTTCAGAAGATGAAAATGATGTTGGGTTATCTTGTTTCATCTCTTCTAAATTAAACAAAGGCTTAGTTTTATCAAGATTTTTATCTTCTAAAGCTAAAGGTTGCATTGTTTCCTCCAAGTATTTGTCTTTAACAGTTGAAAATTGTGTTGATACATTTTGCTTTATATCTTCAGAATTTGAAAAGAGTGTTGATATATTTGTTTGTACTCCTTCTGAACTTGAAATAGCTGATATTTCATCTGATTTAATGTCCATAAATGTTATGATTTCATCACTCAATTCCTGTTTAACCATATTTGAACTCTCCCAAACTATACCATTATTGTCCTTTGTGTTTTCCATAGCTTTAGATTCATGAATTATTGCAGAAAAAACTGAAATAAAAACAATCTTGATTAGAAAACCAAATTAAAAATAGTATTTGAAAATATATTGATTGCATTTATAAAAATGTTTAAATATTTATGTTTTAACTTTACACTTGCTTAATTTTTTTTTTTAGAATTCATACAGATCTAAGAGACCTTAGACCCTTGCTCTTTTAGTTCAACCTTTATTAAATAGAAGAAAAAAATTCCTCTTCTCCTAATAAAGCTAGATCCATAAATTTAGTACCAATGGAAAGCTTAATGCCCACAAACTCATATGGTTTAGAGATAAAATACTCAAAAATGTAATTTTCATACTTCATAATTTTTTTTTCAATTTTTTTTTTTAGATGTTAATGATAAATTTGACTATCTGAACTTGGCGGGATACAGGGCAGATGAAGTAAAGTTCATCTGTTTCTTTGTCCTAAGCATATGAAGGCATAGTGTTGTCAGAGAAATGCTCGACGAGAATTGTTTTTATTTAAACAATAAAAACATGTTGTCTGAGACTTGGTGGGACACTGAAGTAGAGTTGGATAGGTCACCTGTGATATCATATATGAAAGGTTAGTGTGGTCAGACCTATGCTCAGCTGAAATCGGTGTTTTAAAAGATAAAAAACGTCTTTTTGAATGTGGGGTCTGGTTATTTTATGATGATAAATGACAGACGTAATGTTATGGATGACCCCCAAAACCTACAGTTATCCAAGGGATGACCAGGTAAGTCTAGTTAATTATTAATAGTCCTGTTATTTTATAATTTTAAATTAATACGCCTTGATGAGATTTTCAAGAAGGGCTATGAGTTGATAAAGAAGCATTAATATTAATTAATAATATTAATAGGCCTAAAAAAAGTATATTTTGAATATTTTTGGATCTTTGTTATAAAATATTGTAAATCTATAAGTCTATTACCTACCTAAAAACCTATATTTACATATTTAAAGGTAGATTCTAATCTAATAATAAAAATAACTATCAATTTTAGTTTTAGGTACTAAAAATTATTTTAAAATAGGCCACAGCTAGTACTAGATATAGTAATTATTTTCATTTAGTAATGTGACAGAAATCCTTACCCTACCTAGATCTAGTACCTACCATAGTCCATATGCCTACGCCCTGACCCTAATTTGAATTTCTAACTAGATCTATAGGCCTATTAAATCAAAATGTCATGAAACAAACTCTAGATGTATAGACTAGGATCTAGTTTTCTAGATCTAGATCTCTATAGTACTCTATAATAGTCTATACCAAATTTTTTTTACTGGGAAGTGTAAAATTTCTAAAATGTCTATATTTAATGGTAATCTATTGTTAAAGGTACGTAAAATCAATCAAGACTAGTAATGTGAAAAAAAGTTGACTTATTAAATTTATGATTTCACATTTTTAGGAGGATTTAAGTTTTGAAAGCTACATAAATGTTTCAAAGTTTCATGTAACTGTTTTTAAATAAATGTATTAAAACTTTTCAGTAATAAATAAAGACTAGATCTAGCAATGTTTACATCCAATGCAACCAAGCTCATTTATTTTAGCAATCATCTTGTTTAAATTTTTTGGCTAAATTATAATTAGAGATTCAGGGGAAACCACTCTAATATACAGGTGGCCGCTGTATATATAGCAAATCTTGCTCGCAAACACTGGTGTTTAAAGTTAATTTCTGATCTATATTGATATATTTAGCCATTGCTTTATTATTCAGTTATCTATATTTGACAAAAATATATCATAATATACATCTATTAAAGTCTTAACAATGAGGCAATTTTTTTCACATTACCAGCCTCGGAGGATTTTACGCACTTAAAATGATAGATTACCTCTAGATCTATATTAATCCTAATATATAAAAGTCCATTTTCGCACTTCTCGCTCTCTCTCTCTCTCTCTGTCCGCAAGTTTTTTTTTTTTTCACATTACCAGCCTCGGAGGATTTTACGCACTTAAAATGATAGATTACCTCTAGATCTATATTAATCCTAATATATAAAAGTCCATTTTCGCACTTCTCGCTCTCTCTCTCTCTGTCCGCAAGTTTTTTTGGCGATTGTGATCAGAATGTTCAGCTAAATAGGGAGAACTTGAAGATACTGGCTTTTGTTGAAAATAATATATACTGGATGTTATAAATGTATTTAATGTATTTAATGTATTATCTAAATTTTATTTAAAGAATGGAAATACAATTTAAGGCATATTCGAATGTAGAAACGCAATTTTAATAATGCAACCATAAAAGCATTTATTTTTGTGAAAAGAATGAAATAAACAATGACTTCACATGTGACATTTTTAAACTTTGGAAAGAACACAAAACAGTTCAAAACTAATTTGCATCATCCTCCAATTTTAGAATATAAAGAAATGAACTATTTCATTCAAATTTTATTTAGATCTATAGATCTACTTATGGGGACGTACGCTATGAAATGTATACAATTTTATCGCCTAAAAGTAATACAAATTACTTAAAGAAATTATTTAATTCTCTTAATCAGACTTAATCAGTGTGTTCATTTAATATGGTGTTGTGTTGACAAATAATGTAAATAATCCTGCCTGTCTGGGTTTTTTTCGACTTAACTAAAGATTGGATGTATCTGATGTTTTTAATATTTTCTGTAACTAAATAAAAATTTAAAAAAAGAAAAAACAATTTGGTTTTCATGTGTAATGGCGACCTAAACAATGGCATCCTGCTATTTGATAGGCCACCATAAATTTTATTGCACACATTGTAAGCTAAAAAAAGAAAAACTCATGTTGTTTAAATTTGCATTGTTATTTAAAAACTTGATCTGCAAAGTTTTGTAAACAAAAAAACTATAAAGTGGGGCTGTCAGAAATCGATCACGGAGTTCCTGAACAGCCAATCAATGTTTGTCTTACGAAAGTGAAACATCAGGTTATAACTTAGGCTTGATGAAAATAAATAGAAATGTAGCCTTAAACTCAACACATTATTTTCAAGTTCTCTGGATCTGCAACTTGTATAGCATTGCTTCAAAAATATTAAATTTCTGAATTCATTTTAGGCTTAAGTTTTTTATAAAATTTTAGCCTATCTTTTATGATTTTTATGGTCCTAAAACTAAAAAAGCACATTTGTATTCCATGTCAACAACATTACGGAAGGATTTTCGTCAATTTTTCGTCAACTCACTGGTGTCTATTTGGCATTTAGGCCATAATATTATATATTATTATTAATAATAATATTCATAGCCTAAGTATTGGTAGCCGTTGTTATTTTAAATGTGCCGGATTTTTAGCTACCCCCTATTTGGTTATTTTTTTGCTTTGTCACTAGTTTTGACCAATAGGGCTAACAAATAGATCTAGACTGGATCTAGATTCTAGATCTAACTATTTTATAAAATATTTTTCTCCAACATGTTTAACATCAATTTTAGGCCTATGCGGCTATTGACTTGTTCACGTGTGTGTTATTTTAAATGTGCTGTATTTTTAGCTATTTGGTTATTTCTTTGCTTTGTCACTAGCTTTGACCAATAGGGCTAACAACTAGATCTAGATCTAGAATCTAGATCTAGAATTCTAGATCTAGAATCTAGATTCTCTCTACTCTATTACTTAGTATTACGGTACATCGGTACACTATTTAAATTTTATAAAATATTTTTCTCCAAAATGTTTAACACCAAATGCCAAATAGGCCTATGGCTATGCGGCTATTCACTTGTTCACGTGTGTAAGCTTTAGTAACATTAGACCTTTCTTATCTGATGTTGTAATTCGTAAATGATCTTAAAACACTCCTAAAATGAACTTTTTTGCGATGTTTGTCGTTTGAGATACAAAACTTGGGTCCCCATCTTGAATATATTATTAGAGTAATCTCCCTTGAAGACAAGAGTTCCCAAACTACACCGCTTTGACAATTTCGACATGTAGGCTTATGCTATACATTTCTAGTAGTTTTTTTTAAAATCTGGTTAGAGTAGGGCTTATGACACACATCCCCCCCCCCCTCGTTTTTACAGTCAGTTGATTAAGTGTGATCCCAAGAGCACGTTCTGGTGGGCCTAAAGATTTATTCACGTCAGACTGAAACAGAAAATATGTTTATACACTTTAAATAGTAAACGAAGTGTTGCCTACGCGTATGCTCTTGATGAAACCGAAACGAATAAAAAGAAGAAATCACAAAAGTTTCGATCAGTGGTTCTTAATACCTGTTCTATCGAACCCAAGAGCTTCGGTAAGTCAGTCTCAGTGCTTTGGCGAAGGTCATGGCGCACACCCGACTCGTAGGTTTCAAGATCTTATCTGGAAGATAAAACTATTAAGAAGGGTTCGGTGAAGGCGCATATGAAATTGGTAGGGTTCGGTACCTCCAAAAAGGTTAAAAAAAACACTGCTTTAGACTAGCGTGTACTTTGTAAAAGGTGCAAGCATATTTGGTCTACTTTTTGCCTTGTCTTTTTAACAATTCCGATAATAGTGTATTACACTTTTAAATTATCATTTAGGTTGAACAAAGTAATAATGCATTAGCAGTCGTCGTTTTGTACCATTTTTACATCGTTTAGTAAGTCTAGTGGCCTTAACTATATGAAAATTGCAGTATTATGACTTGCCTTTGCTCCCCAGGAGCCACAAAGGAATGATGATGAAAAAAGCAATCAAAAAATTATCAATTCTGTACAATATACTATTTTTAGCTCTTAAAATTTCGGCAAGAGTATTGTCTTCCACCCAACCGCTCCGACTGCATGCTATTTTAATAATCGGATAGCGATTCAAGAATCCGTGATATTTAATTCTCTTTACTACAGTGACCCAGGAAAGATGTAATGCAATCAAATAAAAGTATCTGATCTTTCATGTTTAAGTCGAGCGAATCGTAAGAATCTTACAAAGAACTATTCGAGTCATATCTTAACAAAACTGGCTAGTGAAATTGTACATCACGCACTAATACAAATGGTTTATACTCTTAGTCTTAGTGTAATACGATTTATCTAATCACCGTTCCGGTGTAAATCCTCCCCATTTACATTGGCGAAAAATAACGTGCCACGGCCACCCACCATACTTTTTACTTTCTCGTATATACGAAGTATAGAGAAAGTATTGTAATCGTGCAAAAAAAATCGAGATTTTTACAAATCTCGACGTTTTACACCTCACTGATACGGAAAAACATAATTTTGCAATCTTGTCCGTATGTCTGTGTGTGTGTGTGTGTGTCCGTGTGTAAACACGATAACTTGAGTACCGTTACAGCTAGGTTGATGAAATTTCATATATAAGTATTTTATCAAAATCGTAGATCCGTATCAACTTTTGAGCGATTTCCGACAACCGGAAGTGGTACTTTTTCTACTTTGAATTTTTCAAAAGCCTATAACTTGAGTACTAATTCAGATAGATAAATGAAATTTCACATGTAAGTAAAATATCTAATTCTCTACCTTCTGTCGAATTTTGAGTAATTTCCGTTGACCGGAAGTACTACTTGACGCTATTTCCGATTTCTCAAAAAACGCAAGTAAATTTATAAAGTACTAATAATATTGCGCACTATTAAGCACATTTGGTTTTGGTGCTCGCTTGGTGCGCATTTTTTTTTCTACTAGATTTTATTCTATTTTTAAAAGTTTAAGTAAACAAAAATCATGTCTATATTCCGAGTTGACATCCCACGTAGTGTTATATTAGAATATTCGAGAAAGTTTAGGGGAGATCACTCCCTTTTTTTATTTTACTGTTACACAATACGCTTTGATATAATTAGTTTATTTCTAGGTGTTAAAACCAATCCAGTACAAATACTTGCGATTTTTGTTCGCGAAAAAGCGTCCCCACCCCCACACTCCTCCCCACCATCTTGGACAAGGTTCGTAGAACAGGTTTTAACCGTGCTATGCACTTTGGTAAAATAGTTTCTTTTCTAAGCGATCTGGGTTATCTCCTTAACAATCCAGTGTAAATCCTTGCAATTGTATTTAGCAAAAAAAGCGCCCATCCCCTTTTACTATCTTGATAAAAGTCACAACATTTTTTACGGTTAAAAAATCGTACAATACGTTTTAATACGATTGGGTTTTTTTTCATAAGTGGTAACGTTTAACCACTAATCAATCTAATTTAATTTTTTACGATTTTGGTCGTGAAAAAGCCCCCCCCCCCCCTTCCACACACACATATCTAGCGGTTTTTGCCGATCACTGTTTCTAAATGTTACATATTTGACAGTTAAACTATCAAGATGAAAAAATAGTTAAATAAGTATGTAAAGGCTTGTAGCCATTACATTTCTTAACTTAGACTTTTTATAATTAAAAACTGCAGCATAAAATCAGTTTTAAAAAAAATGTCCACCCCTTTTGGCGCCCCCTAGGGTCGGCGCGCGGGGCAGCCTCCTTATTATCTGTCCGTAAGTATTAGACAAAATCCGAAACATAACTGACGAAAATCAATACTACTGTGACTGTCTTTAAGATTAGAATCCACAAACTCGAGTGCCCTATTATGATAATTGTTCTTCAGTCTCTTTGTGTGAGCGGGTGAATGGATTATTTATTTTGTATTATTTTATTTGGTACGAATCTGCGAGTGGATGATCCAATGAGGAGAGGCCACGGGTCCCCCTTCCGTCCGAAGCGGGCAGTATAAATTGACCGCTCGGCTGAATTTTCTTCCTTTTTGACCCGCGGCGAGATGTAGGTCGGGTCAGGTTTCTGCGTGGCGCACCGCACGCGTGGAGGTATTTGTTTTTTTATACTATTATACTTTATCTTTATGTGATTTGTATGAATGCGACTGCCGATGTGTTCTCGTTTTATTTCTTTTTCGTCTAAAACGAGATAGTGGGCATCGGCATGTCTGGTATGCACGAGGTGTGTTATTTTGAAAGATTTAAAATGTATTTTTGATGTTTTCTAAACCCTTGGCGTGTGTTTTCGGACCACGTGGTTTAGGTCAGTGTGTTTAGGAATGTTTCCTAAACTGATGCGAATGCGTGTGTGCATTTACTTGTTTTACTTTGATATGATGTGTTGTTATTGTGGGTTCCCCACGATGACTAGGATTGGCTTAGTCAATAGTCAGTTGTTTTAGACAGTAATTAGATTACTATATTTTAGTTGCCTGGAGTTTTAGGTTGTTTAAAATTAATGTGTGTGCTGTTTCGTGCAACGTCATGTTGAGTATCGCTTGCTTGGTGTCTGCCTTCATTGGGGCCTTAGCGGAGTGTGTTAACTTTAATGTTATCAATATGGATGTTGTTTATGTAGACCAATGGCTTCGGGCTTCCTTGTGTAGGAAAGATTGGTTCTACAATGAATTTGTTTTACACGTTATTTTTAAGTTGCTGGTTCTTGGTAAGACAGTAGTTAGTTGTTTTTGAGAATAGCTTTTAGAATTGTAATAGTAGGGATTAGTTTTACTCGAGGCTTTAGCTAGATAGTAGTAGTAGGTAGCATTTTAAACATGTATATATTGATGTATATATTTCCATGCATTTTTTCTTATGTTTTCCTTTTCTTTTTCTCTCCCCCCCCCCCCCCCTTCCAGTGAGGTTGCTTGGGCAACTTGGCTGGGTGTTTTGTTATATATGAATTGTTTTGTTTGGTGTAAAAAGTTTGTTTTGTATATATTGTTTTGTAAGTAATGTTGTCTACGTAATGTATCGTACGTAGTAGTTGTACGTAGTGTTTTGTTTGGTGTGGACTTTTGGATGTCGAGAATGGATGAAGGGAGGTTTCTGTGTGTCAGGGCCTGGACCATCCTAGACATCATAAGGCACCTGTTTGGTATATATTGTTTTCTACGTAATGTCTTTTGTGTGTACTGAAGCTATGAGGTGAGGGCGAAGGCGTTCCTCTTTCCATGAAGTATACATCTGTTTTGTTTTGTTTAGTCGTGTTTTGTTCCGTTGAGTTCTGTTTCTGTTTTGTATGTCTCCAGTGTTCTGTTTTACCTAAATTCTAGTTTTTTTAAGCTTGGTTCCATATTTTTTTGATAAATAAATTTTATTAATTTGTTAAAGTTTTTGTTTTATTTTTAGTAGTTTTATTATTTAGACTAAGGTTAGGTTATTAACCAGTCTGGGTTTAGCCGGGCTTGCACTGACCGGACAGTAGTTAGATAAGCCTAGGGAAGGGTAAGATAGATTTTAAGGTATCCCCCCCCCCTAGCAGGGCTTACAAATTGGTAGCACGAGTGGGGTCAGTGCTTTAGTCTAGTTAAATTTTGTTTTTCTGTTAGGGCTAGTGTAGCTTAGTTAAATTTTTTTGTTTTGATAGGCCCTTTTTGGAACCATATGTGTTTAGTTTATGTTTAGTGTAGGAATTGTTTGTTGTTTAAACACCCAGTCAGGTTGGCGGAGAGACGTGCCTCGGCGAGCCTTCAGTGTGCGTGGCTGGACAAGGCACGGTGTGTGGCGCTGGACATGGCGTGTGATGAAGATGGCGGCCTCGTGTGGTCTATACTGGACAACACACACGGGCGTGGCGCGGATCTGGTGTGTACGGCAGACCGGTGAACAACGAACGGCTTATGACGTCAACCCCTTGACCCACAAAGAGGGCTACTGGAAACCCGCCCCACAGGTGTGTCGTGTCGGGCACACGATCATTGGAGGCGGGCAACAGCACGAGAGCCAGTGGGGCAAGGCGGTTGCGTCACCACCTAGCCCAGCCAAGCGGACGCTCCCTACCAACGGAAGGCCTATGACGTAGATTCCTCGACCCACAAAGAGGGCTACTGGACACCCGCCCCACAGGTGTGTCGAAGCGGAGGCACGATCGTTGGGGCGGGTAACAGTCGGAGAGCCAGTGGTGAAAGGCGGTTGATCATCTCCGGACCGACCTAGCGGACGC